TTTTATTGAATTTTTAAAACAAAATTTTCTATTTAATAACTTATTTTAGTTTATAAATTTATAAATATGAAATTTTATTGATAAGCTTGCGTATGTTACATATACTTTAAATCATTTATTACAAAATTCTTTAACAAATTTTAATTTAAAACTTCCGCTAGTATACATGTTCAAAGAATTGCGTATGCACAAAATCTTAAATATAAAAGATAATAAAATTGCAACTAATTGTAAAATTTAGGGATGTTTGATAGCCCTTTATTTTCTAGGGAAAATGGAAAAAGAATTCTAACTTTCACTTTTAACCTGTTTGATTGATAAAAAATTTCAAGAAATTCGTTTTCCACCTTTGACCGCCACGTCAGCATTTTTCATCTTTTTCTTGAATTCGAATTTTCAACATATTGGTGAGAATTCGTTTTTCGGGTTACTGTAGTGATTTTTTTATTTTTTTTTGCAATAGAAACAAAATATAAGAATTATTGTAAAAAAATTTATCCCTTTAATTGACAATTTTCATATAAAACAAAGACAAATGAACATCAAAAGATAAATGATTTTCTTGATTTTTTTTTTTTGGCAATAGACACAAATTTCATCTCCAATACCAGTGAATTTTATCCTTTAATTGACAATTTTCATGTAAAACAAAGTTAAACGAACACCAAAAAATACTTTTATTTCAACATTTTTCATGTTGAAAATTATACAGATCAAATACAATAATTTATAATTCCTAACAAAATAATTTCTAGGCAATTCAATTCCTTGAAATTCGTTTTCTTCCTACCCAAATTTCATTTTTACAATCAAACGGACCCTTATTTTAGTTTATCAGAGCATTTTAGGTATGTCACCTCATTTTAGATTAGATATGACTTAAAATTGGTCGAAAGGTGAATAAAATACTCGAAACTAGAAATATGAGATGCTATTGCAATTTTTTAAAATGTGAAGGATATCTTTGATATTGTCATAAAGTTAAGGGATGTCTGTCACTAAATTATAAACTCAAATTTAATGCTTATATTTTGACCTTGGAAGATTTATTGGGCTCATTGGGCCGTAATGTAGCATGAAAGCCCAAACCTAAACTATCTTTGTTTGAGGACTTTTTTTAATTCCCAGAACTTTATGGATCAGGCCATCAGGGCTTATTACATAATTACAACTTTACTGAACGTAAATAGGAAACGTTGTTTCCTTGAGTGGGATCCATAACATGCACATTGAAATATGACTTAAGAAATAGTAAAACCAACGAGAGAGCTAGGGATAATTGCTTGTATTGTATTGAGAAAGAACTATACAAATTTTAGCTTGTCTGTTTACAAATACAGTTACTTCTATTTAAGGGTGCCAATGAGTTGAGCTTAGACACGAGCTCGCCTCTGTCCTATAGATGACTTGAGCTCGAGCCTCACTCATATCCACAAACTTGATTATATTCGGTCCTTTGACTTGTGGATCTCATGGATTGAGTGAGCCATCCACGGGTCCATGATTGGGCATATTTTTAGAAATTAATAAAGTAAGACGGTCCACGAGCAACTCAAATCATGAAGGGTATTCGACTCAATCCATGACTCGTCTCAAAACAAGTCTGAACTGTTCTTGGATCAAGTTGGGACGATCTAAACCTGTGAATGACTCAGCTCATTTGTCACCCCTAGAGCTATATGAACTATAGCCTTAAGTATCCAGATATCAAAACAAAAGATCAAACACTCAAATACCATATTAGTCATAAATTCAAAAGTCTTCGTGATTATCCTCTTCATAACTTGACCAGCTAGCATTATTGTCACATGCGAATTCAAAACAAAGGTAATTTTTTTTTTTAAATCCAGATTATTCTTTCACAATTCACAGGCTAGATGGCTATGCAGTAACTCACTCACTCACATATCTAAAATAAATAAACAATTCTTGCTGTGTGAACAATGAACATAGACAGAAACCACAAATCAATTTCCAGTTCACTTTCAAACAAGTATGATCCTAACAACAAAAGAATTAACAAAATCGTTGAACTAAGAGTCTCATTACAGCAAAGCAAAAATACCTTGGCAAGGCTGACAGCGAACTCATTCTATATTCTTTTGCTGGAGAATCATTAAACGCGTCGTAAAAATATATATAAATATGTTCTTCGGTTTGATTAATGATTATTGTCGTTGAGAGTTGTGGTTTGCCAGTTTGAAGTATATTATTTTATAGCTTAATGATAAGTTCTGTAAACAGCTTATTTTCAGTTGATTAAACAAGTATGCAATATATGTTGTATAAATATGTGACAAAGAAGTTGGGAGAAGAAAATGATTGAAATTCAACACAAGAACAACGTGGCCCGATTGTTGAATTGATATGCTCGACTTGACTCTTGACAGAATGAACAACATTGAATGATAAAATCTCACGTGAAAACTCGAACTTGTTTATTCGCTCACAAATGGCAAGAAAGAGAGAATATTGAAAGAAATTTCTTATGAATTTTATAATAAACAAAAATATCTAATTGCCATTAAGGTTTACTATCTATTTAAAGTTTAAAGCAATAATTAACATCTAGATAAAGATTAAAATCTAGATAGTGATGAAAATGAAAAGATAATAATGAAAACTAAATTTTTTATATTGAATTTACCCACAACAAATGAAATTAAATTTTGAATTGAAAATAGCAAGTAAATCGAAAAACGCATTTTCCGCAACAAATGGAATTAAAATCAGAATTTTATAAATTGGGCTGTTTCTACTCAAAATTGACCCAAACTTCTTCGAAAATGAACTAGGTTGTAAAATCTATAACAAATTAAATCAATTTTATGTTAATTTTCACCCAATTTGCAATTTCAATGATTGAACGAAAATTGAGCAATAATCAATTCAATGGTTTAAATCCGAAGGGGACACACATACCCTTTCAACGTCCAATTTTTAGATTCCAATATGTCCTTTTCAGTTGGAAATGTTGTATTAGTGGGTCCAAAATAGTGGATTAACATAATTTCTTTTGTTTTATTTTTTATTAATCAAGTGATTAATGATTGTTTTGTTGAAAGAAAAAGTCATTAGTAGGGTCTTGAGGTCATAAGAACGATTCCCCCACCACTAAATACTGTCCAACATCTTTTAGAAAAAGCTTTTAAAGAAAATTAATTTCAGATAAGGGTTTTGTTTTATTTTGTTTTTTTGTTTTTTTTGGGAATAATGCTATTTGCATTCGCTCTACGTGATAGATAGTGATTTGTTGTATAGAGTAATAAAAAACTACCGCATTAATATATCAAATAACTAACCGCCACATGTATGTCACATAGAACGACTACGACAGTGAACAGTCTCAAATATCAATACTCTTTTATTTTTTTTGGTACAAAAAACAGAAATCCGGGATTAAAGGAAGCTTTGCAAAGAATACGGAAAACTGTTATTAATTGGCTAATTACGGTCATTAAATTACGAGCATGTGACTTCCAAAATTTTAGGTTCATGCATATTGTCACAAATTAAACCACCTAAACCTAAATTAAGGGGAAATTTATAAAAGAGTCCCCAATCGATGATATTAGTGTATTTGCACCCGAGTCCTTAAGCTTACATTTGATTGTGAAAAATGTTGGGTGCATCTCACATGAAATACTTTTCAAGATGTAAAATGAACAAGACGATTTATATATGAAAAATTAAATAGAAAATGACAAAATCAGTCATTTGTGACTTATCCAATTTCGTAACTAACAAGTTCGCAACGTCATTTGCCCTTCTCACTGCGGACATACACCTACTCCACTCGCCCCCTGATTGTAATGGATATCAACTTGGTGTGGAGGAAGTCGGTGGCAAGAAAGTTAAGGAGATGAACGTGCAATGATCTAGCCACTATTTGGTACATATTATTAAAAAAATCATTTTTAACCACATTTTTCAATAAAATAAATTTACGTTTATATTCATAACTTTTTTCTATTTTTTAATCACAAAATCTTAAAAAGAAAAAATTACTTTTCACAAAATATATTCTCAATAATTCTACATCAAACAAGCCCTTGATCTTCTGTCTAATCTACTTTGGATTTAATAAATATATTAAAATTATTTTCTTTTCAACTAGACTTTTGACTTCCTGAACAGCTAAATAGATCAAAGCTGTCCATTGATGACCCAAAAGCTATAAATTTTAGAGGTTATAGACATTGATATAAAAAATTGAGGACTTAAATGTTAAAATATCTATAAGTTGGAGACCCTTACTACTTATTTTCCCTAGTATTTTATGCTCATAAATACCTGTAATTTACACCTATGACTTACCAAAGCATAAAATTTTGCAAATGCCCAATTAGATATGCCCACATTTTAGGTAGAGAATTTAAGTACCCTAACTTTCTTATCTTGATACGCAAAATTGTACATAAATTTAAAAGAGCGAAAATGTAATTACAATTTTATTTTTTTTTGGGACAAAAGTTTTATAGCATAAGTTCATTGCAAAATAAATTAGTGTAATTGTCACGAATGATGAATAACATTATTGAAGTCGAATTCGTTAAATCATACCCCTAGGCCCTATCAAAAAGAAAAGTCTTGTAACTAAAATTTTCCTCTACATTGTAAGACCAAATCAACTACGAATAAAAAAAAGAAAAAAAAAAAAAGAGAGAAAGGTCAAATGACAAATATGCCCTCTCCCCACAAATTACAGAGCACGCAAAATCACGGAAGCATAAACGGTAAACGCTCAATTCTCTAGGAGTCAATGGTCAGTTTCCTTTTCACTTGTCGGCCGTTGGTACGGTAATATTCAGAGTACCATTCTCGTAAATCTAACCAATCTCCTGTCCACATACTGAAATATCAATTGTTTATGGGGGAAATAATGTAATGGACGCCGGTTATTAATTTACGTTAAAGTAGCGATGACATGACACAAGAATTGATTAGTGAATCATCGATGCCTATTAGATCATTTACTCGTTTATAGAACACACTGAAACAACTATGGAAAATACAGTAAAAAAATTCAAGTAATTTTCAAACTCTGTTTTGCTTTTTCACTTTCTATATGGTTAAGCAAACACAACTTCATCAAAACTCTACTCCACATTGTTCATAACAAAGTATTTACAAAGGAGGAGAAGAAAACAAAATCTAATCCAAAAGTTATACGATCACCAACAGCTACAGCAGCTTCGCAATTATCTTTCTAATTAATTACTTAATTAACTTAACACCGCTACTTATCTCCCCGACTGTTTGAAAACTCGTCAGAGAGCGAGTTGAGGAGGTCCGTGAGGTCAAGCGACTCGCCGCCGATTCGAAGAGCCTCCAGCACCCGTTCAAACAGGAACACATGGCAGGGGATCCGGAGCACGCCTTTCTGCTCGTACCCGTACTCTTGCGCCGATTTATTGAGCAGCTTTACAAAGATCGGGTGATTCAAGAGCTCAGCGCTCACTACAAATCGTTCCATTTCCTCGCCGACGTAGACTGGCAGGTGACCCTGGGGCACTCCGCCGGACTTCTGTCGGAATGATTCCAATCGACGAGGCCTCGCCGCCCTGGATTCCGACCGCAAAAGACAATATTGCGAAGAATCAGCCACTCTAGATAGCCTCCTTATCAACTTCTTCATTTTTGTACTTTTAAATTTTGTATTCTTTGCAGAGAGAAACTGAGAGAGAGAGAGAGGGGTGGGTAAGAGGGGAGAGGAGAATGGTATAAATATAGGAAGTGAAGGAAACGGTATTGGAAGGTACAGATCGGCGTACTTGGCAGGTACAATTATTGTAGTATTTATTATTTTTGTACAAAAAAGTTTCTTTGATTAATTTGGAATTTGGTGAGAAATTTTCGAAGCATAAAAAATTGAATTCTAATTTGGAACTTAGTAGGAAATTTAAGAAAATTGATTTTGTTTTTAGTATCTGACGTGTCATTTTTATTAGCTTATGTTTTACATAAAAATCAAAATTATATATTTTAAAAGAATGTATGATTGAAAAGTTGTGGTTTCACTTTTATAATTGAACCAAATAAGGATTTAGAGGGTATTTGGGAGATATTTTTATGTAAAAATGTATTTTTGAATAGTAAATTGATGGAAAATGTGTGGTTGAAAAATAAGAAAAAAAATTTGATTTACGTGTAATATTATTTTAATAAATAATGTGTGTTTGAAAAGAATAAAGAAAAAATGCATTTTCAGAAAAATGAGTACCAAACGGGTAATCTTTTTTTACTTCACGTGTTTACAAAATGAAAAAAACAACAAAAATATAAAATGTCTTTGTTTGGAGAGAATTAAAATCAGATTTTTAATAGATTTTGATAAAAATTGATAAAATGCGTTGTTGAAAAGTTGTGGATCCTATAAAATATACATTTAAAATTATATGTTCATTTTGATTTAGATTAAAATTTGAATTTTAATCCTACCAAACGTATCCATGAAATAGTGACAATAACAATTACTTTAAAAGGGAAAAATTGATTAATCTACCAATGGTCAAAGCTTAAATTGTTAGCAGTCTTCGAAAATTGCATAAACAAAATAATATAGACAAAATTTCTCGGTCGAAATTAATATTAAATCATTAGGAAAATTGAGTAGCTGAAAAGACGACGACGCATTGAGTAAGACTAATCGAGCAGAAACAAGAAAGCGTTCTATAGCAATTTAAAGAATTATTTTAGTATTACAAATTCAACAAGTCAAAAATTTTATCTTTGACTCTGTACATAATTTTTTGAAAAGAAAAAGACTGCTTAAATTATTAAATAATCGGCCCGCCATAATTAAAAAAAAATAAAAATGATTGCCTCTTTTTTTTCTTTTTTTCTTTTTTTTTTTAACTGTAGAATTGCCCCAACAGCAAGCCATAATTATGCCAATAAATCGTACGTGATTTACTGAATTATGCCTCTTGATTATAATTTAAGAAAAGCAGCACTTGTCCATTTACCTTTAACTACAAATGTTGCAATTAATGGCCCAAGAGTCAAGGTTCCAAAAATAAGGGATTGTTTGATTAAGATTTTTATTTAAAAAAAAAATAGCGAATTTTGGTAAACATTTATGAGATGTATGGTTGGAAAGTTGTAAATTCCATAAAATTAGTTATTAAAATTAATTATTATTTTCGAATGTACTTTTTATAAGTTTCTAAATTATCCCAAACAAGCACTAAACTTGAAGAGTGGACTATGGAGTCAATTAATTTTAATTAATTGGGGATATAGCAAAGTAAGGTGGCACTTCTTAACGAACGCATGCAACCATCTATAGTAGGATGTGGTTATGTAACACTCGAGTTAAATTTCTGATTCCAACTTATAAAAAAATTGGTAATATCGCTCAATAGACACGTATGTGACAGTTCTTTTATGTAGAATTAGATGACGGAAAAATATCAGTAGGGGCAAGGGATTCTAGTGGCCCTCACCTCCTTCCGCTACTGTTCATGGTTAAATATTCAATCGAGCCCCAAATTAACGAAACGTAGATATATAATGTTCAACTCTAGAACAACCCTCCCTATTAGCAAAAAATAAATAAATAAATAAAGTAGCCCCCGGAGCATATTCCAGTGGTACAAGAGTGAGGTATACTTAATCTTGCTGGCAGTCGTAGTGTGAGGGTTCGATTCCTGAAACATGGATTGTGACTCTTTGTTGGTATCAGTGTACAAGCAGCTCTTGTTCCTTGGTCTGCTGGGACCCTTAACATTGGGGTTCAACCTTTAAAAAAATTAAATAAAGCAGACGTAGATTTAGCCATTGTTTGTCAAATATTTTATCACATTATTTTTTCTATAATACTTATTTATAACTACACATTTTTCATTAAAATAATATTATATATAAATAAAAAAAACTTTTTTTTTAACCACATAAGCATCAATCACTATTTCGTAATATACTTTTTGAAATTAAAGAGACACAAACATGCCTTCAGTAATAGAAAGGAGATTGAGTATTGAGAAGGGTGAATTGAAAGGGACAAATGCTGAAAAACGTTGAAGGCGTGATTGCCGGCGTCCTGCCCCTTTTTTCTTTTTGGCCTATTGTTTTATCCGGATTCCATTTAGTACTGCTAACGTTAACGCTTTGTCTTCATCCTACTTTCCGCCTTATAATTTTCCCACCTCTTTTCGTGCCATCTTCCATTTAGGCCTCCCAAAATTTTATTTGGTTGTGCTATATTTACATCAAAAGAGGCAAAATTCGATTGGATTAAAATTTCATTAATCAAATAAAAATAAATGTTTCTACTTTTTTTAACACTTCATCAATTTGTAAAAGATTATGTGGTCATTAATAAAAGAAAGAAAGATAAAAGATGAACAAGAAAAATTAATGAATCCAAAGGCGATGGCCTATTGTCAATAGAAATGTAAGCTTGCATAATTATGATAAGCCGTCGTTTGGTTTAGTTGAAAATTAGATTTTAAGCTAAATAGGAATGACATCACATCTTCTCAAATTGAGATGCAACTCATATTTATAGTTGTAAAATTTACTCAATAGATTTTTGAACCGAGCTGAGAGCACAGAACCCCCAATTCACAGACCTCTTATAGAGGTCTCACACCATGTGAGGTCGGAATTTTTTTTATCATTTTTTATTACATTAGGTCCCACAGTGGGGCCGACCTTGTGTGAGAGTTCTGATTTTATTCTGTAAAATTAATTCTGTACAGTGAGAATTATCCTAGATTATTCGACCTGATTAAGATAGTTGATCTTATCTGATAAAAAGAGGAAGGATATTGTTGTTTACAAAAGTGTGTGGATCACCCTTAAATTCTTTTACATATGGCTTTATGCTTTTAAAAAGAAATGTAAAAAAATATTTATATTAGTCTCTCTCTCTCTTTAAGAAGTGTAGAAAGTGTTCCCCCATCCACTCAACGTGCCAGCAATTCTCAGTCCTTTTCAACTTTACATTTCGATTTGTCCAAGCTTTTCTGGAAAAAAAGAAAAAAAAAATCTATTTTTTGTAATTAAAAATATGAATCCCGTTTCGACGTCCTGTACATAAATCTGCTAGAATTTATATCATTCTACACATTTTCACACCGAAGTTTGTTAGTTTTTACAAGGGAAAAGCCATTTATATATCAAAAGTGTACATCATCTTTGAGATCATTTAAGTTGGCAAGATTTGATTGATGAAAAACTGTTTGTTTTTACAATATGTCATTTGATAATGGACCACGGGACTTGTGCTGATCAAATTGTTGTAACATAAAATAAAATTTTAACCGTTCAAAATTAATACCATTTAATTTTCTTTTTTTTAATTTAATTTTTAGTTCTAATACAAGTTAAAAACATCATAATTCATATGTCAACTTATATTTTAATGGTTTAATTGTGAGGGTTCATATTTACCCATAAAATGAAGTGATATTTCATTGAAAGATAGAACTATGAAAAGATAAGTTGAAGGATTATATTTCATACAATTTATACTATATTTTTATACTTTAGGCAAACTCAATAAAAGTTCATTCACTTATCTCCCTATGATCGTGCTCATTGAAGGAGAATCGGCTGTGAGCCACGTGAGTTTTATTTTGGAACAGTGTAATGTTTAAAGTACCTACACGAAAGAGGAGGCAACAGCATTCTTGACGTGACTCTTAAATCTTACATTTCTAATTCTTCTCTTCTAATGTTTATATTATTGTCAAAATATATTTATATTATTTAATCAATTATGTTAATAAATAATTATCTACACACAAATTACCTACTTTCCCAACAATCTAAACTCGTGTTGGTGATTATGTGTTTAGAGAGATATGCACAATCTTTAAGATGTTTACTATGTTTGGATACTTGTTATTTTGTGTATACACATGAGATGAGATGTAGCACACATGGATTATATTCTAATAGCTATCCTTACAATTTGCGGTCACTATCTTCAACAAGCAGCATCAGCTAAGCAATATATCTAATAAACGTGGGCTGCTTAAGTGAATTCATTTTCATAACTATAATCTTTAAGAGCCACTTTACTGAAAAGTCCGAAGGAATCAATGTGTTAGTATCACAGTAAGTCACAATACTAGGTCCCAACCAAAGTTAGGAAAATAGAAAGGAGACACTTGCCTTATATGGAATTAAGTGTTTAAGTGACAAGTTTGTTATTGAACTTGTTTTCCACTCCCTCCTGCAGATTGTAAAGCTTGCCAGTATTTGATTTTACCTCCTTTAAATGTAACTAAACCAACTGATGTCAATCCTCATAAAACTATTAAGAAAAAATTAAAGGGAATGCACCGGCAATCTGGGATTCTGTTTACAAATTGTTGCTGCTAACGATTTGATCATAGTCTAAACATTTACTTTAATTCGTAGAAACTGTCAAGATTAGTAATCTTTTATTAGATAAAATTAAATCTGGATTTGTAATCTTTTGACGAGGTGCATTTGATCGATGTTTCTTTGCAAAAAAATTGATTGATTTTTCTGTCTTTCTCCTTGCCTTTGGATATCCGGTGAAAGAATATGTGATCGACAGAAATTTTTTTTATGGTGAAACAAACTGAAATTTTTCCTAACCTTTGTTTTGATGTAGAGGATGATAAATAACATTAGATGGAAGGAGTACCTATATTCAATGAAAAATGTGCTGAATTAATATTTTAAAAGTGTGTAATTTCATAACTAATTTGCATAATTTTATTTA